GGGGGGGGGGGGGGGTGGAGGTTTTTAGTCGGGGTCCGAACCCACTCGTACGCTGCTGACCATCAAGCATGCCTCAATCTCATGTGTGCAGGGTGCGGGTGACTCTCTCGAGCAGTAGTTGCGGGAACTCGGTTTTATCCCCGCCTGCGAAGCAAAAAAAAANAAAAAAAAAAAAAAAAAAAAAAAAAAAAAAAAAAAAACATTATCTTGTTAAGTTCAAAATTAGTTCAACATTGCGTTTTCAAGTCCCCAAATTTCGGGCAAAGTTTTAAAAAAAAAACGGATTTAAACGGTCGAATTTAATCACCTTAAATTTACTTTTTTGAACTTTGCCCAAAATTTGGGGGCTTGAAAACGCAACGTTGAACTAATTTTGAACTTGCCAAGACAATGTTGAGGCAAAGTCAAGGGAAATTGGCTCCAATCGCGGGAAATCGTATGACCTTTAAACTGACGTATTTGGGGGTCCGAAACCCCCCTTAAAGTTAGTTTGAAGTAATTTTTGTGATTTTTGCTTAGAAGTGCTCAGAATTTGGAGAAGTTCCTCGTTTTTTTTTTTTTTTACAATAATTTGAACCGGAGTTATGATTTTTTGAAAATAGGTCGAATTTGACCTTTCACCTATCATAACTCGGTCAAAAATTAAGATATTGATCTGCGGTTTGCGCCAAAATTCTTAGTTTTTTATGTTCTTAAGAAGAACATTATAAGATGCATTCCGTTCGTTATAAGATAGGGGTTATCCTTTGAAAAAAAAGTTGGGGGGCCCCTGCCCCCCCTGAGTAAGGGAAAAAAATGTTGACCCCTTTAAAAGATGGTCCCCTTTAAGATAGAAACATTCCTGAAGTTTTGTTTTTCTATCTCTAACCGTTCAAAAGTTACGAGGGGGGGGGGTATGGACTTTTGGACACCCTGTAGTCCACTACTTACAACCTTGGTCGATTGCAACCTTCTGTCTCCACCAATAGGATCGCTACACTTAGTCCTCGGCTCCTTTATCAATTGCTTTGCATACCAATTTCAGCAATATACCTGCGGGCAGTAATAAGCACAAAGGAAATGTAGAATTGGCACACAGTTTTAATATGAGTGCCAAACTTACTGACAGTTCGTCCAAAGAAAGGCTTTCAAAGCGTATTTTTGTTGATGATCGGTCGAGCCAAAATGCCGCGATAATGGCGGCGAGATCATAATCGGGTTGGTGAACATTTGAGGCTAGACTTTCGAAATTGATGCTGGTCAGATGCCATCATCTTCATCAGGTCTTTTTTAAACCCTACTTTTTGTTGGATTATATATTGGCTCCAACCTTTGCAAGAAATTTTACCTTCTAACCTTTTACCTTTACCTTCTATCTGTTTGGTGAGTCTGGGTGTTGTTCCAGAAAATTGTGATCGCCTCAAAACAAAATACGAAACTGCATGATTCATTCATTTTGGTTCAACCTATCATCAACGAAAATACGCTCTTTTACTTTGACAGAAAAAGCATACTCTCTCTTAACTTTCCACTGTTGTAAGCCTGAATGGTCTGATTTTTGAACCTTTGTTCTAAGGACAAAACGGTATTAATTTAACCTCTAGAATTGCTCCTCGTATCAGCTTTTGATGTTACTTTTGCGTTTCTCTGTAGGATTTTTAAAGAAACCTTTTTTTCGTTGCAAGCAAGGCAAAATATGTGTATGTATTCTTTTTGCAGTGGGGCTTTCCTATTTGAATATGTGGGCGAAGTCTTGGATCCCAAGGAATTTCGTCGAAGAGCCAAAGACTATGCGAAAGATAAGAATCAACACTACTATTTTATGGCCTTAAAGAACGATTCTATAATCGATGCCACAATCAAAGGCAACATCTCACGATTCATCAATCATAGTTGTGACCCGAATGCTGAAACACAAAAGGTGTGTATGAACTGTACGATAAATTTTGCTGTAATATTTAAACTTGCACTGAATGATATCAAAATCAAGTCAGTAAAAAGAGGGCTGTATGTCTATTTTAAATAAAACAAATGTTATCATCAGTTGAATGGACCACTAGACTAGGTGCTAACTCAAGCATCATCAGATGTTTTCTCATCAAAACACCAAGGGCAAAATTTCTGGATTGCCAAATTATTGGAAGTAAAACTCCTAACGAAGACAAGAGTTTTTTGATGTGTCAGTTCAAACTTCTTGCTCATATAAAACCATGATCTATTTGAGTTAAATCCCATAATATACGTTACCATTACAGTCTTTGCAGTATGGAAATGTGACAACCTCAATATCAGCACTTTGAACAACACAGGATGAGATAGGAACACTGCTTATCAAGAAGCCTTCCAAAACCGTGATTTGATTTAAGTAGAATCTTGTTACATTTTCCCCTCTTTTCAAAATTAATCACAGAACTACCTCAATTAAATCAACCAAAATCCATTTTTGTGATTCTAAAATCATGTCAGACCGATTTGCATAGTAAGAAATTGTGAAATGACTCGAAAGAGGGTTATTTAAAATCTGCGATTTTACCCTACGCTTGGATTTTGCCCGGAGTTGGATATGTTGTTCCCTATCACAAGACACGCCTTTTTCCGGCATTGGCAAGTTCGCCCGAAATTTTTCCCGCGCGCTACAGCGTTGCCAAGTTGAAAACGGGCAAATTCCGTAAGTGGCATTAAAATTGAGCTATGAAGTTGCGGTTTTAACGAAAATTCTCTAAAAATTGCGCACTTTTAGGAAATGACCATGTTTTTGATGTCGCATTAATTTTAACATGCATTGTTGCCAATTTTTCGATTTTTAAATTCGACAAATTTTACAAATCCGCGAATACCCAAAAAAGCTGTCTTCAAATTTGAATGAAAAGTTGTTTAGTCGATAGTTCGTTTGATTCCGCATCCATCGATATATTATAGCTTGCTGGGAAACTTTTGGTTCGCGAGATATCATCATTTTTGTAAACAGCCTTATGGAGCGACGACGCTTTTTGAGTCCGCGCAGATAGAAATTTTAGCCTCCAAAAACACCGGGTAGCATTAATTCCATGCTTTCCTGCATAATTTTTTGCGCTGAATCCGAATTTGACCATTTTATAAAAAAATTGTCACCAAGATGTTGCCAAAGGACCCCGCACACCTCTTATGGGAAGCTGCACCACGACGGATTGCCTTCTGACTTATGTCATTCGATTCTCCTCAAGATGCTGATCAAAAGTTATATGTGCGCCAACTTTCTACGATGCACCGTTTTCGCAAAAAGCCTAGGTAAAGATTCAATTATTCGGCGATAAAAAGCCAGAAAGATTCCTCATTTCAGTACTCGAGTGAACAAATCAGGGGAACTCCCGCACTGAGCGGTAGTCTTATCTCGGATTCCGCTCGCCGTTTTGCTCGACCATCCAAATTAGATTCTTGAGGAGCATAAGAACAGGAAAGTCTGAACGTCTTCCGGGCGAGTGCGGGAGGGAGATAGCCTCTGAGTCGGCAGGTACAGAAAAGAAGACGGACACGCGCTACGCTTTTTCCTTATTTACATTCGGCCTGTCCTTAAATGCTTTGTTCTTTTTTATTCATAGTCGCCGAATAATTGAATCTTCACTTAGGCTTTTTGCGAAAACGGTGCATCGTAGAAAGTTGGCGCACCTATAACTTTTGATCAGCATCTTGAGGAGAATCAAATGACATAAGTCAGAAGGCACTCCGTTGTAGTGCAGCTTCCCATTAGAGGTGTGCGGGGTCCTTTTGCAAAAATGGCTTAAAATAGGCCTTTTTGGCGGATTATGGCCAGTGACTTGCCAGGAGTTGATCAGACGACAAAATTGGTTATTTCCACAATGAAAACTCGTTAAACTTTCTACTAGCTGAGTCAAATTCTTTCTGCTCACGGCAAAATTAAACGCGCGACAAGCAGCAAACTGAAAAAAAGACACCAAAATTGGCGCTTTTTGCGGTTTTTGTCCTAAGTTTCTTGTTTTCTAATTAAGAGAATGTTTCTTGACCAAACTAATGAACAACATGAGCAGAATTTAATATAAATGAACAGTAAAATAAAATTGAACATATTCCGGTGTTGCCAAGCTTAAACAAAATACTCAAATTTTTGCCGGTTTTTCGATTTTTTTCCTATATTCTTTGTTCACTTCTTATTTTTAAATTATTTAAATGTATCTCTCGTGCAAAATATTACACTTTTGTAGAATATTTTAATGTCAACTTAGATTTATACTAATTACTAGCGTATTTAGTTCAGAGAGGAAAAATTCATAAAATAGTGAGTTTTATCGAATCGTGCCAATAAACAACATTTTTAAACAATCATGGAAAACTTTCTGCTAAAAAGTAATGAATTAAATGTACTCCTCAGACTGACTTCATTAAAACAAAACAAGACGCATTGCAATATTGCCAAAATTACGTACAATCATCGAATTTTGGCGGTATTTGACCATTATTATACATCGTCCTATATTCAGTATACAATTTTATTTTATAATTCTGAGAAAATGGAGTTTAAAAGAAAAAAGTAACAATACCAAAGTGAAGAAGACACCCAGGAAAGGGCAATAAGGGGCTTAAAAAGGAACAAATGCGCTCCAAATTACTGAGGACCTGTGAGAGGACAAGGAACTATGGCGGTTAGGCGTCGCGGGGTGCGAGAGACCCCTATTAAAGCGGCTCTTATCTTTATATGTAACAATACAATAGTTTGTCGTTACACTCTGTGTAATTCAGATTTTCCTAAGAAATGTTCATTTAGTCGGAAAACAAGAAACTTAGGAAAAAACCCGCAAAAAGCGCCAACTTTGATGCCTTTTTTCAGTTTGCTGCTTGTCGCGCGTTTAATTTTGCCGTGAGCAGAAAGAATTTGACGCAGCTAGTAGAAAGTTTAACGAGTTTTAACTGTGGAAATAACCAATTTTGTCGTCTGATCAACTCCTGGCAAGTCACCGGCCATAATCCGCCAAAAAGGCCTATTTTAAACTATTTTTGCGAAATTTGGCAACATCTTGGTGACAATTTTTTTATGAAATGGTCAAATTCGGATTCAGCGCAAATAATATACAGGAAACCATGGAATTAATGCTACCCGGTGTTTTTGGAGGCTAAAATTTCTATCTGCGCGGACTCAAAAAGCGTCGTCGCTCCATAAAGCTGCTTACAAAAATGATGATATCTCGCGAATCAAAAGTTTCCCAGCAAGCTATAATATATCGATGGATGCGGAATCAAACGAACTATCGATTAAACAACTTTTCATTCAAATTTGAAGACAGCTTTTTTGGGTATTCGCGGATTTGTAAAATTTGTCGAATTTAAAAATCGAAAAATTGGCAACAATGCATGTTAAAATTAATGCGACATCAAAAACATGGTCATTTCCTAAAAGTGCGCAATTTTTAGAGAATTTTCGTTAAAACCGCAACTTCATAGCTCAATTTTAATGCCACTTACGGAATTTGCCCGTTTTCAACTTGGCAACGCTGTAGCGCGCGGGAAAAATTTCGGGTGAACTTGCCAATGCCGGAAAAAGGCGTGTCTTGTGATAGGGAACAACATATCCAACTCCGGGCAAAATCCAAGTGTAGGGCAAAATCGCAGATTTTGAATAACCCTCTTTGTGTTGTTCCCAAGCTGCCTCCTATCCAAATGGGTGCCTACCCCCCACATTGTGGCTTACCCTTGGTGATCAGGCCAACAAATCTGCCTTTGACGTCAATTTACGCCTGCGCATGGTGGCGCAACCCTTCGTCCCATGCTGTACGCCTGCCAAGTACAAATACAAGTAGTCTGCAGCAGTTTAAAACATGACATCAACTTTCCTGCCAATTTTGCCATGCAAGGTTTTTCTTTCTTTTCCTTTTATAAACAAAATGATTCAATCAGATTAATTGACAAGGTGGAATGGGGGAAGCAGATCCCCCACCCAACGGCCTCAGATCCTAATCCAATAAAATTAGGAGTTAGAGTCTAATGGAAAGAAAGATATGGGCTAAGGAAAGAAAAAAGGCTATAAGGAAAAGGGTGCTAGCATCTAATATCAGTACTGGTACTCCTTTGCTATGAGTGGGGGGGGGGGGCAATAAAGGAAGGAAAAAAGGCAGAAAGAAACTAGCAGAGAAATGAAATGAAAAATGAAAGAGGAACTGAAATTTAAAGTGAAGGTCAGGAAATTCAAACGATCGAATGAGAAAGAAAAAGAGCTAAAGAAAAATTATGAAAGGGGTCTATAGAAAGGTCAGAACAGGTCTGGAAAGGACACCTCCCCTGACGTCTCTGATGAGGCACAGGGGTAACTCCCACACCGGTTGAATTTCTAAGTTCAGAGTCCCCTTGTGCCCCATCAGAAAAGTCTCTGTGGACAACGGGACCCTCAAATTCGGATTTCTTGGGGTTGGTTATTTATTCATACCCACTTTTTCCAAATGTCCACATCAGTATAACGAACTTGAATATTTTGAAAGGGGGCTCTGTCCCCCACCTTCAGGGGTTGGTATTTGGGACACGGATGGGGCGATTTTGGATTACTTGGTGTCAATTTAAGTTAAACATTTTCGTACTCTCTAATTCTGATGAAATAATTTCAAAGAAGTGTGTGAAAAAACGGCCAAAAATGCCTCAAGGCATTTTCGAATTTTGATCACTTGGGGTGATACAGTAGCTTCCGAGACACCCAAAACCGGTCGCTGTTTTGCTTAGGAGCGCCGGGTTGCGACGTTGCCATTTTTTAAAGTGGAAACCTTTAAAAATTCATATCTCCGCCGCATCTCAACCGATTTCAATGAACTTTTTTTTAAAATGTTCCTCTTAAATAGAGCTTTCTAGTGATGTATAGTTTCATGGGGTTTACTTGACTTTAAGTGGCACTTACGCGGTTTTAGCAGTTTTTGATAGACACAAAAATTTAGTTTTTATTTTGCC